TTTTGTTAACTGATGTCCGCTGTGCCCGCGCACGGAAAGTAGTAACAGTGAGTTGGTTTTCGCTTAAAGCGTACGCGTACCTCACTGGTATACGCGCGAAAGATAAACAAATATAACCAATCTATAGTATTATTCGCGATGGACGTTGGAAGTGTTAAAATTTTTTTACGAAACAAACTCTGCATATGATGTCCCTGAGCTCTTAGAATACACTCTGGACAGGCCGTGATGAATTTAACCGACTCCATGAGCGAAAAATTGATGCTTGCTTTAGCGGAAGAAATTAAAATATATATTTTGATCCGACAATTTCCGCTAAAACCAGCGACTTATACATTATCCATATCTGATGTATGCTCGTGAAATTATTAAAATAAACGCCCGCTTACGTGACTAAAATTACAGTTACTCCGTTGGTGAACGTTAGAAATTAGTTCGGAAGTCGTCAGTAAGTCACAAAAACGACATGTTTGAAGAAATCAGTTTGGCATGGTACAAATCATCTTTCAGCTATTTGAATTTGAACAATTTCAGAGTTCTTTCTTTAGCCAAGTTTATTCTAATCATGACCATAAACTATAAAGTAAAAATATTTCGAAAAAGCAGTGAAGTAAATCCATGCAAGAGAATCACTGATCTGCTATTAATGCAAAAATAGGGAAGAAACTTTCAAATGGTTGCTCGCCACGGAACGTTTTCAAACATTTGTCGTCACCGGGGTCGATTTTGGTCTCGACGGAACGAAAACTAAGAAGTAACGAATGCATGCCCGTCATTACTTTAAGGAAAAATGATTTATTGTAATCTTTCTGTGAAAGACGGTTTGAAGATCATTCCTCTGAAAAAGAAACTTCGCCGTTTTTTTTTTTTTTTTATTCATTTTAAAAACTTGCAAGAACTAAGAATTATGAAATGAAAACGTGAGTACTCAAGTTTACAAGCTCTTATATTCTTCAATTACTTTGAATATATGAAAATCATACATGTGAACTACGGTTTTAAAGAAATGAATATCCAGGCGATCTTCGCAGTAATGGACGCTACTTAAGCAGTAGTGAAAATAAGGCCTGAAAAAAATTCAGGCTTGTGCGGGATTTTAACCCACGACCTCTGCGATACCGGTGCAGTGTTCTACCAACTGAACTAACATGCCAACTGGGAGCTGGTCATTGTGTTGGTAGGATATAAACCCGTGAAGTGATGAACGCTACTCAATAAAATAAGACCCGAAAAAACTGCAATCGAGGAATTCTTTATATTATAATTCCTTGACACTCATTTCGCAAGAAAATAAATAATGCGTCATCAAAATAGGAGAAAAGATAAATAATAATGGCGGGTTTGGCGCCACACTGCTACACAAGTAACTGACGATTTGTCCAACTTTGAAATCCAGCGAGAAATAAAACGAGGCCATTTTATCAATGCACGTGCTGATCGCTGCTATCATTATTATATACACATTGAAAGGAATCGAACAAAATCATTTTAAATTGATTTGAGGTCAATCTCTACAATCTTTATGCTCGGCGTGGCCTAAGGTAACAGGTAAACAGATTACCAACACTGCTAAATGCAAGGGATTGAGAGAAGAGATAGGAAAATAATTTTTCATTAATCAAACAAACATTAAACTGCAATCGAGGAATTCTTTAATAAATCCCTTCGTTATCATGATTGGTTTTTTTTTTTTTTTAATTTAAAGCGGACACCACTCAAACTGTAAAACTGCCTACGTAGCAGTCACTGTTAGAATAAGGTGCCTTTAAAGAGAAGTGGTTATGTAACGCAAATAAATTGTTGTAAAAGGCTTCGCCGCGGATATGCGGCCTCGCGGTCTGCGGGACGCGTTTTTCATAAGAACCTTGTATTGGTCCTGCTCACCTGCGGCTCAGGGATAGAGCATCGAAGCGCGAAATCCGAAGGTCTGTGGTTTGATTTCTAGTGAAGACTTAAAAATTCTCTGTCTCACACTTGTGACAAGATGAAAAACATCTTGTATTTAGTCAAGTTTGTGTTGGATTGAGTTGGAAGAAATTTACTGTAAGTAATGTATTGCAAGATAGTCCATACATTGTAAATAGTGTAATGGTGTTGAAAAACAAAATTTAGTGGCTCAATTGAATAATCCAAGATTGCCTCGGTGTTACTTAACTTTGCTCCATGATTGGTCCAGAAATCTCGCACCATGCTCCCAACCAATCAGACGCTAAACTAAAAAAATTGCGGCTTGGTCATTAGCATTTTTCGACGCTTCACGCATTTTGGTTTCTTTTTTTTTTTTTTAATTTGAGCTCTCATTGGCTGATGGCAATGTAAAACTTTTTTTTCCGATTGGTAGCTGGGATAAGTTTGGTTTTGGTTTCTTAACACTTAATTGAAACTGCTCTAAAGCAAGTGAACAAATTAATGTGTTCAATTAGAGAGCAGATGCAACACATTAAGACATCAATTACCGAGTTCCAAAAACCCGTGTTTTCAAAATAGGACCACTCGCAAAACTTTATTTAAGAAAGTAAGTGTTATTTACATAAGAATGAAAAAAACTCTTTGTATTTGCACTTGAAATAGATTGATTTTGGGAATATCGGAAATGGCCTTTATCATTGATAGCGCTTCCTTTTTTTTATACAGTAATTGCAAGATTTTTCAATTTCCAAGGCTACGCAGATGATGACCGCTTCGCAAATGAGAAAACAGAAAGCTATATTCTCCGAAGGTCAGGCGTCCTAATAAGCTATCAAATTGGAACTTGGTGAAGTGAATCAATTACAAAGTTAAGAAAAATATTCTGGGAACGAAACTGATTTGAACATCAATCAAAAATCTCTCAGGTATTTTAAGTACTTGTAATGACTTTGATTCAGTGGTTTCTGGTTATAAAGACATGCAGGACTTATTCCCTGCTACTTCTCTATTGGGCACTATCTTGTGGATATCACGGTTTTAGGACAAGTCAAATAGCGTATACGAAGTTTTCAAGATATTTGTCCATCAGCGCTCCGAAACTAACTTATTTAGAGGTTCTGCATGGCTGTGGGGCTTCACATGTATGTCTAAATCTCAAGTAGCTTGCATGCTCTGAGTGACATAACACTCTGTTTATGACCTTGGAAGTTCAAAACCCTTCAGCCAATTATATATATTTTTTTCAAGTTTTGAACGTACCATTAACCTCTTTCTATAATATTTAGCTCCACATGTGGAGATTTGTCTGTCATTAAAGATTTTTGCCGCCGTTTAAATTTCCTAGGTTTCGTTCACGCACCTGACTAAGAATTCACAAATGATGAACAAATTACGCTTATATTTTTTTCTGAAAAGCGCTAATTAAAAGGCTGACAGGATTTTTTCAGTTTGCTTTGAAGTGAACTTGTTTCGCGATTTAAACCTGATATTTGAACTAAAACTGACTGGCTATGGGCATGAACGTAGTAGTTACCTCAACGAAGAGTGATTTGTTCCCAGCACTTAAACTGTCCTTCGACTGTTCGACACTGGCTCGGAATAAGTCTTTAGTAGGAAAATCAGTTCCCCTTATAGTATAGAAAGATGAACAAAACAGTACGTAAAAAGCTGTTTTGTTGCTGGGTTAGACATCAAGTGAATTTACCGAATGAAGCATTAAAGGCCAGCGAAGTCTTGTGAATTAAAATAATTTGCACACTTTGAAATGGACGCCCAATTAGTGATCAGTTGTTCCTCGAAATAAAAATGAATTTATGCAACTAGCCGGCTCTGTCTGAGATAAAAAGTTTTTGACACGTAAATTGCATTCATTAATACAAATACTTGGCGATCACAAACGAAACAAAAAACCTGAAAATTTCTGAACCATAATTTACTTCTCTGCACGATGCAAATTTCTTTGAGCAAGACTTTGCACTGCACATACAACTTGCGGTCACACAAGAGACACTTTCGTTCAAGAGAGTAGCCCTAGAGCCAGAAGAAACAGGCACTATCGTGTTCGAATCATTCTCTTTTAGCAAATCGTCTGTTAAATCAGCTGCATCAATTAGCTAAAAAGAACACCAAATGCATGCTGTCAAACCAAATTATATCTCTCTGCATAGATCTACCGCTAAATAACTGGCACTTTTAAGTCAGACAAGTAAATTCACAAGTTTAGTGGCTCGGCGCTAATAAAGAGTTCAAGCCAAATTATTTTTTTTACAAAGATGCTTAAGTAGGGGGGCATATTCGAAATTTCTATCGGTTCTTAGTTTACAAGAAACGGTGCCATGAAATGTGAACTTTCTGCTGAAAAAATAACTTTAGCCTCTTCAAATCCAAAGATATTTCTCACCTTCGTATGGAATACTTTCCTTTAGTAAATCGTTACCTTCATGATTGCCTATGATTGGAAGATTCCCTCTTCATTTGCGTTAGTTATAGTTAAAGGAAGCAGATGCGACCATTTATTATGATAAGAATCTTAACTGGAAATACCAAACAAACAAACTGGGGAACACATCCAAACGAAAATCAAACGATGATTTTAATGATATAATATCAGTGTGCCATCACCAAGCTTCAGAAAGTTGAAAACACAACTTTGTTCCACGGATTAACCCTCACGTCCAAAGTAATCCAGAGAAATTATCTTCTGAAAACTAATGCTCTGTAGGCCGGGTGAATTTTAAAACGCTGCTCCTCAAGAAGGAAAACATTTTGAAAACCTATTTTTACAAAAAATGCCGACGTCACTTCTTTGTCTATTCATCGGAGGAATTAGCTCCTTATCAGGCGCATGCGTCAGGATAGAGTTGCGCCGATAGCAGCCCGTTGCGCGGATTACCACGAACCTATGCACTGTACGATCATCGAATAACACTATGGGCTCGTTTGGGGACAGTGCATATCCAAGATGGCGAACAAGAAGTCGGAAAGGTTGAAAATTGAAAAGTTTTCATGATAAAAATTTAGTTTTACGCATCTGAAGCTCAGTATAACTGTCGAGCGTTCGGATGATTACACTCATTGAGTTATCAAAACGGGATAGTCCAAAGTTTTTAATTCTATTTATTAATTTATAATTTTAATAAGTGCCTCAATCAAATGCTGCTATATCCGGCAACGTCGCCACATGTATTTCACAACTACCACATGTATTAAATTATTATCAAAACCATGCGATGAAAATTAGCTGAACTCTACGGGTAATTTTACATTACCGTGTAGGCATAAAATAATTTAATTATTTACTGCATCAAGCTTCAAGTTTTTTAGAAGCCTGCTTTTGCAATTTGTTATATTCTATCACAACTTAGCGATTAGCCTGGGTCCGTTCCTGAAAACCTCTGGCGTAAAGGTGCCATGGAAACCATAAGGTACATGGTGCTTCAGTTTGATGCGTGCCAAGGGGCCCTTCCCAACATCCTTTGCGTCCAGCACACAGAACTCGGTTAGGTGCTTTTCCGGTATGTACACTTGAACGATGACGTAGCCATCATCTTCGTCGCCTTCTCGCCACGAATCGTAACCTCGTCGGGGCACGAACACAGGTTCGCCCAGGCAACCGTGAGAGTACCAGACTTGACGCTCCCCATTTTCAGCATTCAACTGCGTATCAACAATAAGAAAGAAATCACTGTTTTCGAGTACTCTCGAAGACAGTTTAACGCTAAAATTGGTGTCCCACAACCGCGGATAAAACGTTTGAGACAACTAAGCTGTTTTATGGTATTCTTATTTCTAACTTAAGCGAGGTCATTATTGGTTAGTGGGAGGAGGGAGAGAAGGTTTTCTTTTCATGTCGGTTGGTAATATTTTGCGAAGTAAAGCCATTCTATTCTTGTGAACATACAGTGACAACATATTTTGTCGCGATTTTAGCGAAAATTTAATTCTAACCTTCACCACATCCCTATAAGGGAGGTTAAACCCTGGCCTGTCGCACGCCATGAAGTAGTTATAACGCGTGCCTCGCATGCCATGCCTGTATGGATGCGTGGAAGGGAACTCCACGCTCGCACGATCAATTTGTGTTCGAGTACAGCGCTTAGTGTCCAAGTCGATGGTGAATTTGTAAGCGAGACCCGGGGAGACTGAGGTGTTGCTGAGCCAAATCTCGCTATCAAATGTCATGTCGAACTTTGTGTCCAGACACACCGCGGAGAACTCAATTCTGTTCCCATCCTGCTGAGCCGTGCCAAAATGGAAAATCTGTAGCATGATATAAACAGATTTCATTATTAATCCTACTTAAAAATTTAATTTACATTCAGACATGGTTTGATGCTACTCTGGTTTACAGATTTAATGAATGTAACTGAAGAAGTTACAATTCATAGGCCCAACGTTTCGACACTCCTGTCTAGTGCCTTCATCAGGGGTAGGGTCAGGCACTAGACAGGAGTGTCGAAACGTTGGGTGTATGAATTGTGACTTCTTCGGTTACATTCATTAAATCTGTAAACCAGAGTAGCATCAAACCATGTCTGATTGTCCACCTGGTTGCCGTGTGAACTTTAATATATTTTAATTTACATTGTTTGTTATTTCATTAGACCTGTTTTCAATTTCTCGATACTAGTATGCATCAAAAAACTTGATTTCTGTTCTGTTAAAAGCTCACGGAATAATGCTTTTCGCGCGCTGTGAAAAGGAACATCTGTCCGTCCAGTCCTCAAATGTTTCCTTAAGTGTTCTCCCCTGCTTTCCTCCCACTCCCCTAGTCCGAGCGGAGTCTGGGAAGGATAAAAAGGACTCCCGATTGACAAAGGGGGTCCAGGTTTGGCAGAGCTGAGAACAAACAGGCATTAAACCCATTTCACTACAATTTTTTTCGGCGCTAAGGTTTGAGACATGGATTTGCGTTCGATAAGGTTACGAAAGGGACGGAGAGCCACAGAGCCAAAACCGATAATAATCATGACATCCAATCGGAAAAAAAGGAAATAACCTTAGCGGACAAACGAGAGAATCTTATAGGACCAGACTCGACACATGAAAACCGCCTTGAGCGCGGTAAAACACAATTTATAATTGGTTTTTGAGCGCCTATCGATTTAGTGTAATCTCAACGGCCAATCAATATCAAGGAGAAAGCCTTTGAGAGCCAATGAAAATGTAAAGTAAAAACAACCAAACTGCTAAAGCGCGGGAAAACGCGGACGAGCAAGTTGTGATTGGTTTTTTAGTTTTGCATCTGATTATTAGTAAAGCAAGTGGCGTGAGTTTTCTGAAGCAATCACAGAGCAAATTAAGCAAAATCGATGCAATCCCGTAGTAGTTATGACGCTCAATCGGAAAGCCCTCTTATAGCTTAGCATCTGATTAGTTGAACGGGAAGTCTCAGTTTTCTAGACCAATCACAGAGTGCCACGAAGCAAAACCAATGTTTTCCTAGCTTTCCTTTGATGCTCCATTGAAAATTGCCCATGCTTTGGATATGGAAAATCCAAAGATAGAAACTTACGTGACAGGGATCCGTATCAACCAGTATTACACCTGCGCTATCACCACTGCCATGTCGTGGTATGATGACAAAGCGAGAAGGCAATTCTGGGTAATATCGCATTTCCTCCCCCGGGGAACTCAACCCAAGATGAATCTTTGCCTGGGTCCACCATGTTCCCTTCACAAAAGGCGTCATGTGGAACACATAGTAGTCTGGCAAAAGGATAAAATCGTGAGCGTAATTCAGTCCTTCAATGTGATGGACTTGCCTCTGACAGAGCTGCCATGACGGATCAAACTCGTACACTGCCAAACTGGGCCTCTGTGAAAATCCTGGACGGTGGCTTATGCACACAAGTCGCTGAAAAAAGAGAATACAGCTCAAATATAAATGAGGAATGTGTAAGGGCATGGGGAAGGGGAGACAGGGTCCATTTCCCCCCCCTAGCTAACTTGAACCAGGCATTCGGTCGGTGGAAAAAGCAAGCATCCGAAAAAATGGCGCGGGTCACGCAAAAAAAAAAAAACCACAATAATACTTGGAATAATAATAATAATAATAATACAATGTAATAAGCAAGGGGGGGGGAGCTGTCTCCCTTGCCTCCTGGGCGACTATGAGAGAGAGACTATGACAATTTTAATTGTAGTTGTAATTGCAATTTTGAATTAAAACAAATTAAAAAATTTCTACATTATTATTAAAAACCAGTTCACCTTTCTTTCTGAATCAATTCTAAAATGAGCAGCAAAGCATCCAAGCTGTAAATGACCATTCAGATAGTCAGGACCCAGAGTCTCCAGTGTGTGTGGATCCAGACAGTAGGGAACTCCAGTCTCGTAACTTGTCAGTACCTTAGAACATAAAAAATATTATCATACATACAGACTATTTGCAAAGGATCATGCAAAATGTATTTAACTGGTGCAGATGTGCAGATGGTATAATTGGATTTTAAATCCCATGCAAAATCAGGAGTACACCTCTCTGGAGGGTGCAAGAAAATCAGCAATTGTCTACCCACTTATTTACTCCTCATTATTCTTGCTCTTGACCAAAATGAAGAACTTCATATTGTAATTTTATTTAAGCCCCATCAAAAGCTCAAATGAAGATTGGTCATACAAGGTTTCTTCCATACCGTAAACAACAAGAGGAAAAACACTTAATTTGGACAGGAAACCAGAATTATAGTAAGTTACAGTCAGTCAGGTGAGTAATTTTCATGAACCCTGTGTCAAGGCAGTGGTGAGGGGTGACGAGGGAAGGTGAGGGGAGGGGAGGGGAGAGGAGGGGAGAGGAAGGGGTAAACACACCAGACTGTACAGTTCCTACTTGTTCATCAAGCAGAAATATGATTGAGAAACATTTGTTTCAATGTGTGGGCTGTGGGGCAGATGAAACTCTGGCCAGTGATTTATGCTCGTCTGAGAAACTTAATGTGTCTTAAGCACCTGGAATTATGTTAAGTTACAGATTGAACAAGAAAACTGAAGTGGTCAGCAAATGTTCCCACAAAAAAACTTAATTCCAACTACCATTGAATTTTAATTTCAATTCAAAATTTTGGTTGAATGTGCAGAAAAAAACATATGTAGGATGACATGATTGCTGTAGTGCATTAAATTTGAGTCATAACTCTCTGTCTTAAAAGCAAATAATCACATCACTTAATATAATTACGTATGTACTAGGCAATAAATCTCAGTTAACCCTTTAATTCCCAAGATGTGATTGATAAATTCTCTCCTCTAGCTGCTATACATTTCCTTGTGAATTGGTTGCGAGAATTTGATGTTCCATCAAGATAATATCTTGTACCTAATAAGTTTGAGTAATCTCATGACCTGTTTGCTGGATAATTTATGGATACAATATGGAGGAAGTTACATGTTAATCACTTGTGGGAGTAATAAAGGATTAAAAGCAGAATTTCTAAAGCTAATCACAAATAAGGACAACTTTACTGTCACTATTGAGGTATACCTTATATCTGGGATTGCAAAAGGATGCATACACATCCAAATGTAGAAGGTTTCAAACTAACAGTCAAAATTAATTATCAAATAGCGAAATACCTTTCCTCAAAAAGTAAAGGCTTGGAAACTTTCTATAAGAAATGGACTAAAAACATTCCACTCTAATCTTGGGTGTTTCTCTCTTTCACTTTGCATCAGTAATAATTAGTAATTAATAATACAATAATTATTATTGTATTAGTTTTCCCAATAGTAACTGTATTTCACTTCATTGTAATAGTAAGACTGTACAGTAATTTAAATGTCTTATTATTGTTAATATAATTAATATTGTTTTAGAACAATTGTAATGTTTAATTTTGATGAAAATGCTCATAATAGTAATTGCACTGCTGTTGTTGGCCAAACTTCCTTGTTTCTGTGTAGTAATTTTAATTATGTCTGTAACTTGTATTTGAAATATGATAAAAAAAAATTGAAGTATACCTTGCCACCCCAGTAAAATGAATTTGTATTGGACGGGTTGCGAAATTTGATTGGTGGAAATCTCCAGGATGTCAAAAGAGTTCCAAAGGCCTTTAAAGTTGAATGGGACGGCATTGTTCCCATCTGACCTTGATACAGAAACTGTTTCTTGGCATTTTCTTCCTGCCGATGCTTACTGTTTACAAATTTGGATTGAAAATGCACTTGACCATCTTGGAATGTCACAGCACAAAGCATTCCATCTCCATCAATTGCTTAAATGGAAAATATAAAATAAAAAAATTAAACTACTTATAATTGATATCTTAATTTATTTGATTGAGATATTAAAGGTTAGATCTTGTCTTAAAAGTTCAGATGCCCATTTCTGTAAGGGCTTGAGGCTGATTGCTTTGTGTGGCATTTAAACATCAGTATGCATATTCTGTTCTCTCTCTCAATTTCTTATGGCATAGACAGGGAGAATTTGTTTAACAATCAAGAGCCTCTTTAGTTGGTGATCATTTCCTTTATTCTCAAGACCTTAATGTTTGATTCAAGGGTGATATTGTAGGGTAAAATTTATATTTTTTAGCAAGATATGATGCAATCATTAACCAATCAGAGCACATGCACCTCTATAATCACTGGAGCAATTATTTTCATGCATATTTCAATACCTGCCTGGATATACAAAATGACATGGCAATGGTAGTTTTCCCGAAAAATATTGTTGAAAAAAGGGACAAAGCTAATCTGGGTATGCTGTAACCAATGAATTTAGTAAGTGAAATAAATAAACTAATTCATCAAACCTGTAATGGCTCATCCTAACAGTAAAATTTTCTCAGATTTCTCTGAAAGCAAGGAATCGCCGGTGACGTAAAAAAAATTACCAGCATACCTTTCGGGGTTGTCCCATTTACTGTTACGATTATTTCTTGAAACAGCTGTAATCGACTCTAGCATCTACCGTTACTTTTAACTAAACATCTTCGCCTTTAATGTTCTCTCGTTAACTTTAAGGTATATTTTAAATTCGTTTTGCTGTTTGTTTTGTTTAATAGGATCTGAGTACGTTCAGCTTTGTACGCGTCTTGACACAGCCGTAATCGACTCCGGCATCTACCGTTACTTTTAACTAAACATCTTCGCCTTAATATTAACTTGTTAACTTTAAGGTATATTTTAAATTCGTTTTGCTATTTATTTTTTCTAATACGATCTGAGTACGTTCAGCTTTCACGGAAAAAATTTCCGGAACATTAACGCGATTCACTGTCGTTAAGCTTTAAAACGTGCACTGCAATTGTAATTTTTTGCCCTTTGACCTTTTTCAAAGCTTCCAAAGTTTTGCGAGAAAACAATTCATCGTTATGGGTTTTTTTCATTCTTTTGGCTTCTCTACAACATGCAAGAGTTTCCACGCATAATTGTATCAACAACTTTGAGCTGTATCTAGCTTTGTTAGATATTTACTTACGATGTTTTAACCGAGTGCCATAGACTTCGCGAAGACCGGGGCCATTGCGAAACAGAGTTCCTCGCAAATCTTTCGGTATTTCGCCGACTATATCTGCTTTGGGAATCCAGTAGCAGTATTCCCTTTGAGTTTCCCACCCTCTCTTGCATTTATTGGGATCTAGAGGCCGTCGAATGTCACCACAAAGAGTATCCACATCTGCCGACATGTTACAAACGCGGTGGAAGGCAGAGGTTGAGGGCGGGGCATGGGGAGGGCATTGTTTACTCGCTTCCAGTCTCTACTCAAGGTCGTGAATTCAAAGTTCGTAAGCGATTTGAGATCAGGCCTGAGTAAAATTAGACGCTAAGGAAGTGTTATCTCGAGTTCGGTTGGGGAATTTTTGTGGGCAATAAAATGATTTCGATTGCAGTTTGGTGACAATAAGCGCGATTAAATTTTTCAAAGACAACAAAATTGTACGAGTCCTTATGGCAAGTGCAGTTTGTAGTCTTCGAAACATTTACAAGTGCTTATTGCACCACATTGCAAGAGAAATCATGTTATCACTGGTTAATATGTACATGAAAAACTTCACAGAGTGTCAGGACAAACGAAATTTTGAAAGATTGTATATTGCACTCGTGTTACACGAGAATGCACCTGTTTTCAGCCGATTGGAAGCGCGTAATTTTTTTCGTATACATCATTAGTCGTGTGATATGCGAGGTCGTAATAACAAGTGTGCGTAGCTGGTGCTTTAACTTTTGGTACTGGTTTAAGTTCAGTTAAGATCAAAAAAAAAAAAAAAAACGCTGTGACGTATTGGCAGTCTGATAAGAAGCGTACAATTTCTGAGGTCGAGAACCAAGCGATATAGCGATACATATTTTAGTATGCTCAAGCTCACAAAAATTGTCATCTTATAACCCAATTAATTTTTGGAATCGCTTGACATTTATATACCAAAATCTGGTACTCTTTAAAAGTTTCCAGGAACTTTTCAGTGGCACTTTGGTAAAAATTTTATAACTGCCGGGCATTTAGTCCATTCAAGACCATGCCCGGAAGTCTGATCAGAGGCGTACAAGCGACAACCGAGCGAAATAAAATTTAAGGTATGCTCCAGCTCGGAGAATTTGTCCACTAAAAAGTATGCAGAAATAATTGTCGGAATCACTTAACATTTCTAAACGACCATTTGATATTCTTAAGAAGTTTGAAATAACCATCCGGTAGAAATTCTGGTAAAATTTCCGACTGCCGTGTAATAAGCCTATTTGAGACCGTGCCCGGCTGCTAGGTATTTAGCCATAGCGCTGAAAAAAATGTAGCTGTAAGCATACACTCGAGGCATTGAAAATCGACGTACTACAGATCTCGGCTCTTTTTCGACTCCTATCACATCCCCAGGAATTTTCCGTCAAAGAATCCCTTCTGACCCTAACTGCTCCACCACCCTAGACAACAACTCAATTTGTGAGTGGAAAAAAATTAAAGAAGCCACGGCAGTCACATGCATGACCTATGACCACGGTGAACTCTGTTATCCCCTCTTCACTTACCTAGAAAGATCTCGTTCTTATTCCTTATCACGCGGACTGGGATAAATAAAGCGTTTTAATCCTCTCATAACATACCGATGATGCACGTTCCGTCGTCATTTCCATGAAAACGAACATTCCTGTACATTACTCTCCTTCCTGTAAAATTTTTCCTTTTTCCTTTTCTCGTTATCGAACAGGAAAAGTTGAAATCACGGTGTACTGTTACATTATTTAAATAACTTCATATCACCGAAAGAATGTTCCAACTGTTTTTTTCCTTTTTGCCCTCCTTTTTTATGTTTTTATTTGATTTGACACGATGTCTCGTTAGTTGTTTTCGTCTTGTATTTTGCTGGCTTGAGTGTCTATATCTCAGTTGTGAGATATGCAGGCCTGGAGATATGATAAACATGCCATTTATATCTTGGCAGGATTAAGAAAAGTGTCAGGGATAATTCTGTTATTTACCAGGAATGAACAATGGCTTACACGTAGATGACCCCTACAAAGAGATATCTTCCACGTTCCTAACACCTCATTATGAGAGAATGTCCCTCAATTGACCAATTTACTCACGCTTACGCGAAATGTCTCTCTGACCTTGTCTCTCGAATAAAACGACTTGGAAGCTCTTATGAACTATCATTAGTAATTATTAGCCACAAAGGAAAAATACTATTTAATTTCTACATCTAAATATGGAACGAAACAAATAGTCTTCAAATGTGTGACCAGTCAAATGATCTTTCGGAAATCTGCACGTTACCAGCAGGTGATCTTGTTGCGGCAACCCCTTATTTGATAACATTCCAAATAATTTTCTGTTATTTCTTTCACTTGTAGTTTTTTCCATGACTTAATATCAAATTGTAACTCTTAGTTATTTTACTTTCAAACCGGAAGGCACTTCAGTACCGGTCCTTTCATTCGATCACGTTTTCGAAATTGAAAATCAATTACCAGAAAGTGGTACATTGTACATTGTACTTCTACGCACTTGTCATGATCGGGGGTGCTGTTTAACCATCAATACTGAGTAATACTGCAGCAATTTGACGGGAAAAGAGATATGTTAAAGCCTAGCTTGTTAGAGGGACTCTTCATAATATTGGGTAAAATATATTGGATATCAACTTTACCACAGCTAAATACCAACTTCATCATTCAAAATGTAAATATTTTTTTATGACGATCATTGTGAAGGCATTAAGGAAAAAACTTAAACCATCGGGGGGATTACGCATGATTTTTACGTGAGAGCGCGTCTTAACACTTTAAATCAGTCAAAATTAAAACTTGAGTACCGCAAAAATTAGTATCTCTCGAATTCATTAAGACATTCTTTTTCAGACAGCACTGTCTGAAATACGATAATTTTGCATGGAATTCTTTCAAAAAATTCACTAATATCAAAATTTTAAAGGAATGTTGTCCAAAATATGAAAAATACGATTGATCTGTCAAAATATGCTTTTTTGTTTTCGTAGCGACGAGTAAACAAACTCCCTGCACGAAATAATGGGATCAATCACGCGAAACGGAAGTGACGTAGCAAAAACAACAGGTGTGAACCTGGAAGGCTCGTGGTTTTTGTTCCGCTATTGCTGGTGATTACGTGAGACGGTGTTTGCATTTACCGCGCACTTAAATCGCGAGGCTTCACTTGAGACTTAAGTTTGCTTATAGGAAGTTATTAACGATTCTGACCTCACCGAGGAGGGGTATAGTTCAGTAATCACGTTCTGACGAGAAACAAGCTTCTGTTTGAGCGCAACCTTTGTTCAGCAGAAAGTTAACTCTTCAAAGACCGATTTTCTTTCGTTTGTGGTTTCGGTTTCGCGTCTTCGTAACATCTAAGTGGGTCTTTTTCCGGCTTTGTTTACAGCAGAGAAATGGTAGAAAGGCAATGGAGAAAATGTGTGGCTTGTTTAAGGTACGTTTTCGTTTTCTGTGGGCTGTTAGTCGCGGCGAAACCATCAACTACAGATTCAAACTCAAGAGGAACTTGCAATTTTGTCAAGACTGACTCTTCAGGGGAAATTCTCAGCCCGAGCTATCCCCAGCCATATCCAGAGGACATTGAATGTACATGGGAAATTAAAATGCCGTTGTTTGAAACTATAGTTGTTGTGTTTAAACATTTCAACCTGAACTCGCCTTCAGGGGACTTCTTCTGCGAGAGAGGTGACTTTGTCGAAGTTTACGACGAGCAAGGTGGTCTTTTAGGCAAATATTGTGCGGGGAATTTACCCCCAAGACAGATAACTTCTAAGAGCAACATCTTAAGAGTTGTTTTTAAGTCGCATAATCGAACAACAGAGAGCACGGCTCTCACTTATCAAAGTGGTTTTAGTGCAATTTATGCCTCTTGTGGTGGGTTCTTCACGGATGCTGTAGGTCTTCTTCAGAGCCCAAGTTATCCTGATCAATTTCCAGCAGATATTCATTGTTTGTGGCAGATAAGAGTACCATCAGACTATGTAATCGAGCTTCGTTTTAAGGACTTTCAAATGGATGGAATGTATCCGTGCAGTGTTGACTACGTTAGAGTGAAAGATGGTTTTAATACTAATTCCACTGAGTTAGGGCACTTCTGTACCACGCGACTTCCTAATGAGGAGACTCCCGTTCGTTCAACGGATAACAAAATGTCCCTGGAGTTCAAATCATACAAAGAAAGCAATTCACGGGGATTTAAGGCTGAGTACACTCGAGTTTCTCATTGCAATGGGCTCTTGCAAGGTGATTACGGAAGATTCACTTCTCCGGGTTACCCCGGTTCGCGGAAAATGGACAGAACCTGCAGTTGGCTTATAACAGTCTCAGAGGAGAAGATAGTGTCATTGAGGTTTGATTTTTTCGCTGTCGATTCTTTCACTGGGATGTTTTCAATTTCTGGAGACTGTGGAGATGATTTTGTAGAATTGTTTGATGGTACCAGTTCTGATGACCCCTCTTTGGGAAAATTCTGTACTGTCAATAATAAACCTACTGATATGGTGCGCTCAAGTGGTAGACAGATGTTTGTAAAACTAAAAACAAGTTTCCGAAATGAAGGAGATGGTTTTTCAGCCAGTTACTATGGTATGGATCCCTATAGCCACTTTGCAGGATGCAGCTTATTTGACCAGCAACTGTTGTTTACATGCAATAATGGACAGAGGATCCAATGCCAGTGGAAATGCGATGGTACAAACGATTGCACAGATGCATCAGATGAATTATTCTGTAAACCTACACCAACTCCTACCAGCCAGTCAAGTAGTGATATACGCAACTACGTCATTGTCATTCTCTCTATTACTGGTTCTTGTTTGTCCATTGTATGCATTGGGTTTATGATAGATCGTTTGAGAAGGAAGCGCACTGTACGACCAAGAAGAAGACACAACCTTAGAAGACCACGGCGTTCAAGGCTCTCATCTTCTGGTGATGCCCCCTTAACAGATGAACCATCATCTCCTCCACCTCCTTATGAAAATGCATGCTATGGGGTGTCTTTCATTCAACCTCACCTAAGTAATTCTTCTCCACAAAGAGGTAGTCCTGGTGCATTTCAGAACAGCAGAAGGATTCAAGCCCCAGAGCAGGTTTTATCTAACAGCAGCCAAGAAAATACTTCTGCAAATGTCAGAACAGAACAAATGATCAACAACAGTGAACAAGAAATCCAGGCTATGATGTTAACAGAAGAAGAAGAAAGAAGGGATGGCATTCATGGTAATGTAGTCATTGGAACAGTCTCCCCTTCAGAGTCTATTAATTCACTGAATGACACTGCTCCTCTCATTCACCGATCTGAAAGTGTTATTGAACTTTAAATGATAAAATCATATGCTTTATTAACCTCCATAATTGAGGAAAAAAGAGTTGGTAAGTTTTTTTTTTATGTAGTTATATAATTTATTAATAATGATTGGGTAGATTCATGATACTTCTATTTGAGTGATTAATTCTCCCACAAGCCTAGCAATAGCCTATGATGTGTAAAATTGCATTTTTTTTCAATTTATAGTGTCTGTTTTACTTGTTCATGAATGTTTTGCTGCTACATTTACCACATAGTGTTCATTCAATCAAAAACCATGCTCATGTGTTAACAGCCAATGTTTCAAGAGTGAACAGTTATCAAAAAAATATGATAGGGCTCAGTTTCCTCGTTAATGCCCAAAGTGTCTTCCTGGTTGTTCAGGTTAAAATACAGGTTTTAAACACCACATTATCTTACTTTGGAATGTATTTTTAAACATCCTCCAAGTTGTTAACCCTTTAACTCCCTGATCAAATTTGTAATTCTCCTTACTGTCAACCATACAATTCTTATAATGTTAGTTTAGAAAATTTAGTATTGGATCAACTAATTATCCCCAAATTGATATTTTCTGTATTCTCATCATTTATCTGGTTGATACTGTATTGATATTGTAAGGAGAAATTCTGTCATGGTCACTCATGGGAGTTAAAGGGTTAATCATAATTTTTTAATTGCCTCCCTCTAAATGAAAACTTGATCCAAAGTCTGGGAGGCTACTCAACACTAATGATAATTACAGACATTTGCCTGGTACAAAAAAGGTTTCAAAGAATCAGAAAATGTGGTGGAAGATTGAAATCAAAAGATAATTAATATATAACAAAAAACCATTACAAACAGAGCAGCAAGTTTTTTAAGGTTAGAACTAGTGACTATTACTATAATTATTTAATTCTAGTTAATGACAAAAAAAAAAGGATTTGTAAATTTGTTATATAATTATTTACATAGAAGATGGACAGAATATACATATTTAACTACAGTGCACCTTAGAAAAATTGTTGTTCTGTTATTGTTTTGCCAGTCAAATATTAATGTCAGGCTTTTTGGAATTTCTCCTCAACTTGCTCAAAGGTGATAGGATTGTGTATATATGAGCTGAATCCTTTACACTCTAACATCAATATTCATATTTTGCATGGTCTTTCCTTCTCATGTCTCCACTGAAAAAGATAATTGGCTAAACAATTACAGCTTTGTAGGTTTGTGATCAGTTTTTTTATTCTCATGATCTTAATGAATGATTCAGCAGTATTACTGAAAGGAGAAAGAGGATGCTGGTCAGTATTAGGGTTTAGAGGTTTAGTTAGGCTAGTCAGGTCTCTATTTTGACTCAACACCAAATTTACTTAAGCCTTTACAAGCTAACACCAGTATGCATATTCTCCATACTGTTCTGTACTCATTTCCTAAGGTGCTAACACGGATAGTTTGTTCAACAATCAAGAGCTTCTACAGTTGAATTAGTCATCATTTCTTTTATTCTGACTCGTGATCCTAATGTTTGATTCAGGGGTGACATTGTAAGGAGAAATAGATGCTTGTCACTCTTAGGGCTTTAAAGGTTAACTTTCTCATAAGGAGATTGATACAATCTCTGCTGTTTTAGGAGAATTCGAAACCTACTGCTACATGCTACATGCATCCTCTTTCCCTTTGCATAGAGAGAAATGAGATTAAATAGTGTATGTTGAATGGGGGGGAATGGGGGGTAAGCGTGTGTGTGCTCATACAAAACTCAGTAATTTAATTTTTATTGATATTGTATTTTTAGGTTTAAGTAATAAATTAAGTCTAGTCAGGTTGAAAACATATAAATTATATTATTTTTAAGTGGTATTTATCATATTTACATGTGACAATAAGTAAGTCAGTGGTCTTGCAATTATTTAAAACATTGATGTATAATATTACTCTATTTGATTGTCGTGTTTAGTTGAATTTAAACACTGTTTGGAAGTAGCTGATATGCCATTATTTAATTAGAGGTTTATGATTTCAAAAGAGAGTTTTCCTTGTTGATTCCTTTTATCTATGTTTTGGCAGTTCATTAGTTTTTTCACATTATCCCTTTTCATGAAGTTCACAATTCAAACATTTTGTGATTATCATGACTATTGAACTGATCAGTTTGATTTATAGTGTCAAAACTAAGGTCACCTCTTGAAGTCTTGGTTATTACCATGTTCAACTCTTACAGACCATTACAATGTATAGTGTATTTATGTCTGAGACAGTTAACTTTATTTGATATGTTAAATTATAAAAGTTTGGGTGCGAGGCATGAAGTAGTCGCACACAATTTGTGTTTTTGATGGTAAACGTAGTTTTACAGGTTGTGAAGGAAATAAAATTGAATTCAATTTCAAATTTTGTGGATAATGTTTTTGTGTACTAATTAATCAATCTGTAAGTGACCTCTAAATTAAATTCACAGCCACAAATTTTGATTGAATCAAATTGGTGAGCAACCTTGAAACAAGTAAAATTTTGATTATACTTATAGGTAGTAGTATCCTATTACTTTCAACACTCTTTGCAATATTAACTATAAGTTTGGTCTGATGTATGAACAGCAAAGAATGGAAAAGACTGAAGTGCGAGTGCAGCGATAAAGCCCACGAACTCATTGCATCCCTGAACAGTTTCATTTCTTGTGCATACATCAAGGTCCGTGAAGAGTTGTAAAATTTTAAACTGAAAAGTCTTTGAACTATTGATTTTTCTTCTGCAGATGCTCATCAACCTCTTATGTGTTAAAGTACAAAAGACCAACTTTTCGGCCTAAATACCCCAGAAAACATAAAGAAAAACAAAATTTCACAACACATCCACGTTTGTGACGTTTTGACAAGAAAGAGCTTTTCTGACTAAGGTGAAAAGTTGACCTAATGATTTCTGCATGTAACAAAACATTTGGAAAGGGGTAAATAATGTGCAATACCACTAGATAATAATTATCATGAAAAAACCTGAGGGTATTACCTTTATTTTTAAAATTTGAGGTAACAGAACTGCACTAGTGTTGGATAAAAACATGAGAGATGACAACTGTACCATTTTCACCATGATCAAAATTTTTTTATTAAAATTGTTTTTAGGGGGAGCAAATAAAGTTAAATAATAATTTCAAAGTTTACTTGCTTTATTTCTCTTGATGGATACAATTCCTCAAATGTTTTCCATTTTTTTTACAAATGGGAAGACAGCTTAAGCGCAATGATCATATACAACCTTGATGCATTATTTTTGATAAAATTTGAAGCTAACCACCTATTACATTGTAAAGTCCACCTATCATTGATATTAAAAAGCCCAAGACAAGATTAATTTATAAGTATTTTACATGAAGAGATTATCTTTTTTTTGTGATATATCAGAAACCCCAATCCCAATCAATTTGTGGTTTAATGACATTCACAGTGTAACATTGAACCACATCTCCTTCTTGGACATCCAAGAACTTCTCAAACGACAAGCCACACTCTGTTTCCCTTTTAGCTTGGCTTATATCATCAACACCATGCTTCATGGAGGCCAGTCGTCCTGGTAAAAAAAAGTCAGTTTAGAAACATTTAGTTACCGCGACAGCCAAACAAATTTGATTCTTTATTTTTGGACTTTTTAACCAATAGCTCTATGGGGAAGTCATCAAAGTAAAAAATAAGAAAAACAAATCCCCTCTCTAGTCTCTTAACAAGCTTTGAAATTGCAGGAGAAAGTTACAGCTCTTTTGTGGAGAAAACACAGAACGTGTCACAAGAAAAAACCAACTGCCAAAATTATCTCTTTCATTGATTTTATCATTCTTTTGTCTAATTGTTCTCTGCTGCTTGACATCAACTGTGTCAACTACAGCAAGTTACATATTCATCATTAAGTTGCAAGCCTAGTGTGAAATGATTTCATGAAAAAACATTGCTTGCATCAAGTCTCACCCTTTTCAAAAGGGGAAACAGTATTGAAAGTTGTGGACAGGATATAAGTAGGAATAAGTATGCTAGCTGAAAAATAAGTGAAATCAGAGCCTTTCCAGTTTTATCATCAAAAAATACAGACAAATACATAAAAACAGGATTATTTTTATCAACCCAAATCAAATTAAAACAAGACATCACCTTCATATACAACTTCATTATTCCTTGTTATTCTGTACAAACTCTTGCGATCAAGTGTCCCAGTCTTGACCTGACAACCAGCTACTGTGGCCTTCCGTCGGCCAGTAAGTTTAAACACTTTAAGAACTGCTGCCTCACCAGTAACGCTTTCTTCATGAATAGGAGTGATTCTCTTGTTTAGTTCAGCCTGCAAGTGCAATGCAAGATAATTACAACTGTAAGATTAATGACCCAATAAATCCATAACAAAACAAATGGCACAAAAATAGTTATCTAACAGCATCAGAGAATTTAGGGTTCTAATAAAAATACTATGAGCTTTTTAGTGCTCTCTATTAAAATTTTAAGATTGTTTGCTTTGCTACTGTGATTTAAGATGCATTATAATTCCTTCTGCACCCAGTAGACATGTGCTATAGGTGGCTTGTTCCAGGTGTTCACTACATTAAAATGAAGCAAAATAGTAAATGGCACAATACTAACGTCAGAGTGAAAGAGAGAGGGAGACCAGGACCAAGTTGAGTTAATAAAACTGGTGGAACATAGCAGATGAGATAATTTCATTTACATATTAACCTTTTCAGAATAATAATCTGGCTGGAAAGTTGAGACGACATACTAATTCGATATACCTTAACATCTTCCAAAAGCTTGTAAATTATTCTGTGCTGTTTCACATCCACACCACGCTGTCTAGCCAAAGACAAAATCTGTTTTGTAATCTTCACATTGAAGCCCAAAATTATACCTGTAATTAATTGCAAGTACAGAGGGAAATAAAAGATTCTGAAATCATTATCAGGTTAAAATTACTATTCCTTTAATTTATGGCATTTGATCCTGGGTGTAAGTTACTGTAATGTAGTTGGTTGGAGCATAAGTTCATCTCAACTAAATCTTAGTCTGAAAGGTATTTATGTGGTGCTGTAATTGACATTTTTAAGAACTGGAATGGGGAAGGACATCTGCTACCTATTTGACGTAGTTGGCATGAGGTGGAAAGGAAAGATAGTGACAGTAATGATGACAATGATGGTAAATTGACAATGACAGAAACAACAACAACAACAGCACCAATTGCAACAATTTTGATGATCCAGAATAATTGTGAACAGACTTGTACATAGGTAGAGTGTGAATAAACATTTGCAGTTCAGAGAAAAGAAAATAGATTTCAGTTTTCTTACCATGAAAAGTCTCTGCAAGCTTGATGTCACTTTCAGTGACAGTTCCAACTTGGCTGGATAGAACTGTCAACTTCACCATCTTTGATTTGTATGTCTTTAAAGCGTCGCTGATTGCTTCTAAGGAACCATCAACATCACCTGTTTGGCAAGGATTGAAGAAAAGTCAACAACTCTGCACCCACATTCAAATTTGACCACAACAGTTTCACTCTCAATTACTCAAGAAGAGACCTCAAATTGATTGTTATGATGTATATATAGTGTTTTTACACCTGAGACAGTTAACTTTATTTGATGATATGGTAAACTATAAAAGTATAAGTGTGAGGCCATAGTACTCACAAACAAGTTATGTTGTTGATGGTAAATTTATATAGTTTTACAGGTTGTGAAGAAAATAAATTTCAAATTTTGTGAATAACATTTGTGTTGTAAGGAATCGCTTCTTTCAGTGACCTCTAAATTAATGCATATCATGATCAGTCACATCAATTTACAGCATCACAACAATGAAGAGCAGAATAGCTAGATCTCTGATTAGGAAAGAGTTCAGTCAGATCATTTTTAGGAGATCCTAACTGTTTACCCCTAACATTCTTTGCTTTTCTAAAGGTGCTAACAAGGAGAAAATGTTAGCAGGCCCATTTAACCTTGAATTCTAACAACTGTATCATTTTGCACAAACCTTTAATGATAATATTTAATTTGTCTTTACAGTCATATTCACTGCTAGGCTGCTTGGGAGCTGGTTCCTTTCTGTAGCTCAGCTCTACATCCAGTAGGGCATTATGCACATCTTCTGAAAGCAGTTTTCTTTGCCGTAATACTGCCTTTCTCTTCTCTACAGCATCCCTAGCTTCTTCCTACAAACATATTTTGTAAGAAGGATGTTGAATGAGTGATTTCCAAGGACAGTTTCAAGAATGGTGTAGCTCCAGCTATGAAAATGAAGATGGCATGTCTAACTTTGAAACAAGTTATACTTTTAGATTTAACAGAAGAAGTAGTATTTAAAAATAATTGTTGTCTTACACTGTGTAAAAGTAAACTACTTTAATCTAGTAATTTGTCTGTTGCTCTCTCCACTTTTTGAATTATTGCTAACTGATCCTTTACCTCTTACAAGTGACAATGACAGGATGGATTTCTCCTTACCAAATCAACACAATATCAAGCAAACAGGTGATGAGAATAGAGAAAAATATCAATGAGGGGTTTATTAGTTGATCTAATACCAAATTCTCCAAACTTACACCAACAGAATTGTACAGCAGACAGTAAGGAGAATTACTAATGAGACTGCGGGAGTGAAAGAGTTCAGTTAACTAATAAATCTGTAGAATTTACCTCTGTTTCAACTTGGATAACCTCATCTCCTGCAGAAGGAGTGTCCCTCCAACCCACTACTTCTACTGGAGTTGAGGGCATGGCCTCTGTCACAGTTTGACCATGGTCATTAAGAATGAGACGTACCTTGAGGTCCAAAAAAATTAAACTCCATTATGATATCATCAAATTACAGTTACAATTTCTAACCCATAATGATGGCTGAACTGGGAACACTTTGTACCATGGGAATTTTGCAGGCTAAAAATCTTGTTGTATCTATTTGTATTTAGTAGGAAGAAACTCTTATACTCTGAGATGACCAAAATTTTTGCTGTAAACAAAATTTTTCAATTTTCTGGGCAATTTACTTATTCCCTATACCCTTCCAGTCCATTTATTCAAATGTGTTTAATTTAGAGAAAGGTTTTAACAACCTCAAGTCAGCAAGAAGTTTACCTTTGCAAATGCTTGATTACAAAGCAGAATATCACCTATCCTCAGTGTTCCACTATTCACAAGAATGGTTGCAATGGAACTGAAATAAAATTTGTCCATGATTAAATTAAAACGAGTCTACCTTCATCACCCATAATCAACTGTACAGATAGCCACATATGACACACAAAATCTCCCCAAGACATTCATAATTAGTCTATTTGAAGTCAATTAAGGGTGTTCCAGACATGACTGTTTTACACTATAGTGAAAATTGTCAACTAGGATAAAATATAACT